TTGTCGTGTGATGGGGAAAAAGAGAACATTGATGATGCTCAGTACATTTGAACATTTGCTATGCGCTGGAACTATTACAAGTGTGTTACATATATCAACTCATCTAGTCTCTATGACCCAGTGGATCAGATAAATGCATTTTCATTTTATAGATGAGAAAACACAGGCGCAGGAAGATTCACTTGCTTGCCCAAGTCGACACAGCTAGTGATGGAGCCAAGAAGATATCAATCAGGCAAGGAATGAACTTTGGTGGTCAGCAATATTAATGGCAGGAGAAGGCAGAGAGCCAGGGATGGAGACTTCGATCAACAGTCAGGGAGCCTGGAAGAAAGACAGAAGAGTGTCGTTGTAGCCCAATTTTGATTAACTGCCAGTGCAAGATCCTACCAAAGTAGAGTCCCATAGAGTCTGGCTCAGCCGGGAGTAAAACCTCTCCCATCTCAGTTCATTGCTTCCAGGAAAGGAAATAAAATCTAAAATAAAGTACAACAAAATAGTTATCTTTCCTCGGTCACTTTCTACAGCTCCAGTAAAAATGAGCATCTGTCTCTGGGTGACTGAGTTATGTGTAGTTAGGGAAGGCAGTAGAGAAACAAGGAAGCCAACGGGGCAGACAACTTGTCCTGAGCAAAAAAAAAAAAAAAAACAAAAAACAGAAGCAGACATGCTCAAAGGAGGAAGTCATGGGAGGTTCTTGGCTCTGCCCATGCCTCAAGCTTTACCTCCCCCCACCAGTGACTGGTGAAGGTGAGTGGGAGTGGGTGTTCAGGTAGCTATTCACCTGCACCTGGAACCTTCCCAGGCCTCTGTCTTCTGAATGCTGCACTGTCTCTCTGTGGATACGCTGTCACTGTTTGTCATCATGTTGACATTTGAAGGTATCTTCAGCTCTGAGATAAGTAGCATGCTCACAAAGGCGTGACCTCTACAAAAGGGCTTGAGCTGTGAACTGAAGAAAACAGGCAAGGAGAAAGCCTAAGTCTATCCTTTCGTCCTTCGTCTCCTAACTTTTCCCACAAACATTACATCCATCGACAGTCTCCCAGGTGCTCTTGTAGTTGGAGCCCGTGTGGTGAACAAATGAAGTCAAGCTTGATCTTCAGCCTCATGGAGTTTATCATCTAGTTTGGGAGGTAAACAAAAAAATAGCAAACATCAAATTAACCACTACAAAACTGTCACCTGTAATAAGGAAACAAGATGGAGCCAAAAGCAAGGACATGAATGACTCAGAAAAGGTTGTGGAAGATGCTGCTGAAACGTCCTATTCTCTCTCCTGCCATAAAGTCACAAACATGGACCACATGTCCCCCTTCCCTTGTGGTTAACTGAAGCCTGTGGCTGCTTCTGACCAGTGTTGGTGTCTGAGCAGGGTACTTCCCCAATAAAAACCTGACAATATTTGGCATGATTTTAGCAGCCAGTGATAGACAGCCTAGAAATTGTTCAAAGAGTCTAGAAAGTTGGCGGTCCTGCTATGTGGTGATTAGTGAAACTAACTTTTGTTATGAAGTGGGACCAGCGATTGTCTAACTAAGGATCATGTGGCTTTGGGGAGCGGGGGAGGACACAGCATCCATAGTGTGTATTTGCTGTTATCAGTTAGGTCCTGGTAAGTTGACATAAGCTCAAAGGGAATTGGCTAATTTGTAAACAAACCAGAAAGGAACAGAGCTATTTCACAGAGCTTTGCAAAATACAAATCCTTACAGGTTTTATAGACTCCAAACACAAAGACAGAGATTAACACATCACTGAAAGGCAAAGCCCATTAAATTAACCGTGGATAAGGTCAAATTAAAAGTGTGGCCTCTAGACCTATTAGTACATCTCTCAATAAACAAGGCACTTCAGGACTGACAGTATTAATATACTCTGCTGAATAAACACGCAGGACAAAGATAAAATTGGTGTGAATGGGGGTGATACATGTCCAGAAAGCAAAAGAATACAGTAGATCTAAGAAACAACTTTCCAAAAACAAAGGCAAATATTGGCAAGCATACTTGACTGGAATCAAAGAGATGAGGTGCTTACTAATTTTAGGAGAAATCATAAGCTCAAGTGAACATATGTTCCTTTAGTATTACACAAGTAACACAAGAACCCAGAAAATTGTTTAGTTGCCCAGAAGTGCAGTATGAAGCTGAGGAGAAGATTTCAAGAAACTGGAAGACACAGAATCATGACATGTTTTACAAATCAGTTCAGAATTACTGGTCTTCTTTACAGCCAGGCACCCAGGATCACTGCTTGTGTATTAATTGCCATTTATTCACAGGATTTTTCAGGACACTCCTGGTCATTCCATCTTCTTCCTCTGTATAATCTTATAACTACCTCATTTTTTATGTTCTTCCTGCTTTACTGTTAAGGATAACAGGAGACCTTTCTGTCTTGATCTTCTCGTGTCTAACAGTATCAGTCACTTCCTATAGAAGACAAGCATAGTGTGTATGCTTATGAATCATTTTCACGAATGACTGACTGAAGATATAAACTAACTAATGAAGTGGCTAACAAATTAATTTAGTTGGAGAAGGAAGCAGACAGTTTATGCGGGGGGGGAATTGAAGTCAGATCTTTGACGAGATCCAGAGAGTGGAAAGTTTCCTACCATCTCCATTCAAGTTGAATAAACAAAAGAATGAAAACAGATGGTAGAGGGTACAGTTGACATAGGAAAGGAGACATTCTGAGTGGCTTTGAGATTGAGGGGAGGATAAACTATTATACAGAGATGGGAAATCTCAGGTTTGGCCATTATGGAAAATAGCCAGGAAAAGGCTAGCCCTTCTTGACATGGGGGATCTGATTTCAGAAGGTATTTTGGGTTTCCCTTGGTTAGTACTTGGATGGCAGAAATTTAAGAATAAGGATTAGTCAGGCTGGAAAAAGGCATTTTCGGTATGCTTCAATTAAGGAAAACTGAAATAAAGCCACCTGCATGAAGGTTGTGGACACAGCCAGGTTCTTTCTTGATGGCGTATGGAAATGGTGGATGAAGAACAAGACATAAACAATGAGAATAAAATTAGCCAAGACTCATGGGAATGAAGATGGTCTAGAAGGTGAGGACTAGAGAGACGAGAGTCACAGCCGACTAGATTACCCTCAATCATGCAGAGTCACTAGCCCTGCTGAGGCTGCGGGACAGTAAAAACCCTGGTCTGACTTTCTTCTAACCACACATGGAAAGAAGGGCATCTTGTCACACCACTCTTGAGTTTTTGTGCTAGCGTCACTGGCCGTAGTGGTATGCGTAACTAGGAAGGCAAGTGGACTAAGAAAAGAATGCTTCTTGACCCATTTCAAAACTTACCAAATGAAACAAAGCCAGCCTAGTGTGGGCATCAAGGGCAGCCAATTTATTGTGACTATCCACGAAGACTCTCTGTGGATGCCCTCCTTGTGGCCAGCTAAAAGCCACATGAATTATTTAGGGTATCGCATGGCCATCAAGTACCTGCACATATCCCTTGGTCTGAACCCGAGCACACCCGTGGAGCCTGAGATAATACATAAGGAAGTTAATTGTTTGTGTATTCTTGGAGTGTAAGACATAACCTGTCAGATCGATCGCTCTTTCAACTGAATGCCCCAAATGGAGCTTTTCTCAAATGTTGCTCAACTCATCACAGTAATCAAAACCAGACACTACTACTTCCTCTTTGACAAATGAAGAGGCTAAGTCTTAGAGAGTGGTAACACAGAGACAGAACACCCAGGTACAAAGCTGTGTTCCTTCTTGTAACCCTCTCTTCATTTGGGAGCCATGAAATAGTAGGGTTCAATGCCACAGCCTTGATTACAGTTTGTATCAGAAGAGCTGTCACGTGAAGAGTGAAGACAGGAGGCATGTAAGATGTGGTTTCACCTTGGAAGTCCTTGGTTCAACTAGTGTTCTGTTTTGGTTTTTGTTGAAGGCAAGGATGTAATTATTTCACTAGACCCAAGATAAATGATAAATGGGTGTGTATTGGGGACCAATTACACAGAAAAATACAAAGAACCTCGGGAGCATTTCTCTGCACTTCCTACCAGATGGGCTGACCCACCAGAAAGGAAGCGCCCAGGAAAGTCACACCTCAAGGTACCCACACACACACCCAAGAGGGGCGTGGCTACCGTTACAAGTTCACCGCAAGACATTTTGTTGTTGCTGTTGTTTTGTTTTGAAACAGAGTCTCACAGGAGCCCTGTCTGCCCTGGATCTCCAGATACAGACAGACTGGCTTTGAGCTCTGCCTCCCCAGTGCTGGGGTTAAAGGCTAGCACCACCAAGCCCAGCCTCTTTCGAGTAGCCTCCTCTGTGCTGATGGTCTGTAGTCATGAAGTAATAATCTGATATCCCTGGAAGTACAGAAAGCATTGTGGTATATCTGTGAAAATTATCTGTTATACTAAGATAAATTAACAGTACATTCAGCCTTTGGGGATATCAGAGAGAGAGAGAGAGAGAGAGAGAGAGAGAGAGAGAGAGAGAGAGAGAGAGAGAGAGAGAATTTGACTCCATTCACAGTTTTGCTGTGGTTTAGCATATAAAGGAAAATGAGAAAGTGTGCCTGTGCTTCCTGTAATTGGGTGTAGGCTTAGGAATTAGGATTGATACAATAGAGGGAAATTTCTGTAGCTCTCTGTTTTGATTAATTGACCACATTGTAAGAAGTCATGTTGCCTTGGAGGAAAGCAAGGTCCAGAACTCTCCCACATGTTCCCTGTCTTCACTCACATGACAGTGTGGCCAGGACCTCTGCCTTCTGCTCTCTTCTGCAGCTTGGGTCCTGGAAGGTTGCCTAGAGACTGAGTGGGGGATGAAGAAGTGACAGGCACACAGACACCCAGGCAATGAAGCTGTCACTCAGGGCTTCATCTGCTCCCTACAGCCCTTGGATGTGGAATGGGTCCTGGGTGAAAGATCTAGGGGCAAACTTGTGGGCCTCTGCCAGAGTTGGCTTGCTAGAGAAAGAAAAGTGAAACCCAGAAAGGGCTGAGAAGCCCTCTTCCCTTTTCTAAAGTTACTTCAAAGCAGGGTGTAAAGTCCCAGACCGGGTTCATTCAACCCTGCAGACACAGAGAGCATAGCCGAAGCTTCTGGACCCGCGGGGTGCCCAGGGTGAGCAGAATCCATGGAGAAGTTCAAGGCCATGCTGGACCTGCAGAGCAAGCACCGCAGCGCCCTGGGCTATGGCTTGGTGACCCTGTTGACGGCGGGTGGGGAGAAGATTTTCTCCGAGGTGGTGTTCCAGTGTCCCTGCAACGCCACCTGGAACCTGCCCTATGGCCTGGTGTTCCTGCTGGTGCCAGCACTGGCACTCTTCCTCCTGGGCTATGCGCTCAGCGCGCGCACCTGGCGCCTGCTCACAGGCTGCTGTTCCCGGAGCGCGAGCGCGCGATCCAGCTCGGGGTTGCGCCGCGGGTTCGTGTGCGCGCAGATCAGCGCGGCCGCCGCGCTGGCGCCCCTCACCTGGGTGGCAGTGGCGCTGCTCGGGGGCTCCTTCTACCAGTGTGCTGTCAGCGGGAGCGAGTCCATGGCCAGGCACCTGTGCAAGGGCCGCGACCCCAGCTGCGTCGCCAAGCTACCGCAGGTTCCCTGCAAGAAGCAGGAGGCGGAGATGCAGGACATCCTGAGTCAGCTCAGGGCTCAGTCTCAGGTCAGACTCTGGGCACAGAGAGGCGGGGAAGAAGTCGGTGGGTTTTCTCTACACCAGCAACAGTGAATATTTAAACAGCAGGGAAGGAGGGGGCATTCGTCCAGTAGCTGGCGCTGTAGGAGCCAGAATAAGTTCACCTGGACTGGCACCTCCTGCGTGATCATGCCTAGTGTTCCCTTCCACTGTGCAGCAAAAACTCAGGCCTGGTGAAGTTGCACATCCGAGGGAAACTAGAGACGTTTTTACAATAGAACTCGTCTTGCCAGGCCCAAACCCACCACCCACACTATCCAAGAACTTAGGAAGCCCCGCGGCTCTTCAGAATAAATGGATGCTCCTTTCTCTGTATCTGCCGAAACTCCACGTTTTCAGTTCTAAGGGAGTGACGTGTGTGAGCTCCTTCTTCCGCATTTGACATGACACGGACTCGGGTTGATTTTTCAAGATAGTAGTTGTTTGATGTACGGGGGGTGGGGGTATTGTTACTAACACTCCTTATTCTAAAGGGCTTGAGACACAACTTTTTCATCATCGAAGCTAGTAAATAGTTCAGACTTTATTCCAGGCTTTTAAATTTTTCTAATGTCAAAGGTCACTAAGTTGGCATCTTGTTGTGTTTTCTGTAGGTGCTGGGCTGGGTCCTGATAGCAGCAGTCATCATTTTACTTCTGGTCGTGAAGTCTGTCACTCGATGTCTCTCTCCGGTTAGTTATCTGCAGCTAAAATTCTGGGAAATATATTTGGAAAAGGAGAAGCAGATCCTTCAAAGTGAAGCTATGGAACATGCGACCCAGCTGGCCAAAGAGAATGTCAGGTGTTTCTTTGAGTGCACGAATCCGAAGGAATGCAGTACCCCGAGCAGTAAAGCCTGGCAGCAAATCTCCGCCCTGTACACGTTCAATCCCCAAAAGCAGTACTACAGCATGTTGCACAAGTACGTGAACAGAAAGGACATGAGTGGCAGCCTCCGCTCTGTGGAAGGAGACGCAGTGGTCCCTGTCCTTGGCTTTGTAGATGCCTCCGGGATGGCCACCACTCATGGGGTGTGATCTTACAAGTGAACAGGGAAAAAAAAATCATGTTGAATTGTTGCTTCACATAAGAAAGTGAACATTAGTATGTTTTATGGCTGCTTGCTTTCTTCTTCCAAATTGTGAGACTTTCAGATCTGAGATTGGGACTTATGTCTCACCATTTTTTTTCATGTGTTTATTGTTAAACAAAACTGAGGGAAGATAATTTGCCCAAAGTGACAATCTAGACTACAAGTTTTATACCTTTATTTTGTGTCAAATAAGAGTCACTGGTGTAGGAATAATTGAACTTCAGATCTTTCTGTTACATTATCTGACGCTAGTTTCAAGGTTGGGGTGTTGTTGTTGTTGTTTGCCAAAGACAGAGTATTAGGAACCTAACACTAATGTCATTATAATTTGCTTTGTGCTTTAGTGCCCACTGTATTTCTAACCAGACTTACCACTATTGTTCAAGTACTATGACATTTATGATTCTAATATGGTTTCTGTATAAAAGTTAATCATGAAAAAGAAAACTGTAGACAATGATTTTTTTTCCATTTTTAAGATCAAAGGCGCCCTAGTACACACCTTTAACCCTGCCACTCAGGAGGCAGAGGTAAGCAGGTCTCTGAATTTGAGGCCACCCCAAATTCCAGGGCAGACAGGTTGAGATCCTGTCTCAAACAAAGCAAAATAAACAAAAAAGATTTGCCTATCTGTGCTGCATTCGTTTTTAAGGTCAGAGGGAACTTTCAAAAACTATCCACTATGGTAAATTTAAAGCACACATAGCAGAAAGAGGCTGAGGGCTGAAGGGATGGCTCGGTGCTTAAGAGCTTTTGCAGCTCTCAGAGGGGACCCAGCTTGGGTTCCCAGCACCCACGTATTGGCTCATAACTTCAGTTCCAGGGTATCTGACGCCACCTTCTGGCCTCTTTGGGCATTTACCACTACGCACATACATGCAGGCAGGCAAAGACCTATACATATAAGAACATAGCTTTTTACAGGGATAGGAAAGTATTATGACCACCCCACACACACACATATCTAATCATCATACGTTTTCAAAAGAACGGGGAAGCAAGATAGAAACCCTATGTCATCCAAATAATTAAAAACTACAGTTGTGATCTGGTTTAGAGAGTGGGAGTTAGGGGTTTGGGAGAGAGAACCTGTGGGAAGCTGGAGTGTAAAGTAGCAGGTGAGCAGAGCCTGTCAGTCAGGTGGCTCAGTGTGAGGAAGGCTGAGGTGGGGGAGGGGCACAGCACTGCTGAGGTTATAAAGCAAGGGGGGGGGAAATTTGCAGTACCTTAGAACTAAGATTCCGTTTTCAGCCTATTACTGCACACACACACACACACACACACACACACACACACACACACACACACACTTTTACAGCTTATTAGCCAAAGTGGAGATGGTGGAGGCAAATCATGTTGTCTCCCAAGTAGAAACAGAGAGGAATGAGTTGAGTTGAGTTACTGGTGATCACAACAGGGAAAGTGCACTTTGTACATATACATGGCTGGGTTGTGGGTTGTTGATAGGCAGGAAGTAAAAACTGTGAGAGCTGCTACAGACAGAATCCTGCTCATTGAGACTGTAAGATCTTTCTAGATCACCTACCTTTTTTTAGTTTGTCATTTCAGTCCACCCCCCAAAGTTATGGCTACTTCCTGTATTTTTAAAAACATGAAATCTCTAAACTGTAAAACAAGCATTCGTCAGATTTAGTCCTCTTTCCTTGCCTGGAAAGGTCTGTGTCAGCTTCTGTTGGCCCTTTTTTCCCTTAAGCTAGTCATCAGGGATGGATGTCCTGTTGTGGGGGTCACGTTTAACAAGAAACTTGGCAGGGAAAACTACAGGATCAGGACTTTTCCCTCCCCCCAAAAGATTTTTTTTTAATCATACCACGTCTAGTTTCATTTCTCTCTTTCTTTGTTTCATTTTCCAGTTTTGTTTTATGTGTTCAACCCTTTCGGACGTATTGCATTTTCTCCATTGTTTTGACTTGTACTCCACATTTTCTTCTGGAATTTAGAGAGTTTTGAAAAATGTAATTTAAGATAAAAATATTATGATGGAAGAAAACCGTGAGATAAAACACCTCATTCCTTTGTGCTTCTCAGAGGGAGTATCAGGCCAGTATCACCTCGTAAATGCTGATCTGTAACTCTTAGCACAGAATATAATCTCACCATGTCGGTATACTACAATTCACCTCAACAAAAAGTTACTGCACAGTTCTCAGGGTTAGTAGTACAGGCTCTCTTATTTTATGTACACATTTGCAAACACATACATGCTCATAAAAAGCATAAAGATAAACACTAAGTTATCAAATGTACTTACTTCTGGAAGTTAAGATTGATGTAGAAAATTGAAAAAAAATCTCTTAGCTGTGTGGTGGTGGTGCATGCCTTGAATCCCAGAACTGGGGAGGCAGAGGCAGGTGGATGCTTGAGTTTGAGGCCAACCTGATCTACTGAGCTAGTTCCAGGACAGCTAGGGCTACACAGAGAAGCCCTGTCTCAAGAAACAAAACAAACAAGAAAGAAAGGAAGAACAGAAGGAAGGAAGGGAAGAAAGAAGGAAGAAAGAGGAAAAATCCTTATATACATTTGATCTTTGGATTTGGGGATAAGTGTGTAATTAGGAAAGATTTGGAGTTCTGCATGGTTATTGAGATATGCAGTCAACAAAGCAGTTTTATATCTGTAACCTGGGTTCACTTTTGACAAGTTTGTGGGCTACCTACAAAACACATTATTCACATTCAAAATTGAGAACTTGAAAGTTAGATTGGATGAGCTTGTAAGGTCACATGGGCAGTGGAGGTAAAACGGTAGCTGGGGTCTGACCTACTGTGGCTCCTTGGCTGTTTTCATTACTAACTCTCGTAGTTCCCTTCTTAGCCATGTGTGCCTGTGTGCAGAGACAGAGGTGTTCCCAGTTAGACCCAATACTTCACATTTCATTTTGAAACAGCAGCTAAGGTAGTAAAGATGTGACCAAGACACAATAGTATTATTTCCTGGTGAGGACATGGTCATTGTCTTTGGACAAGACACACCAGTCCTCTAGGCTTGCCCTCAAACATACTACACCATGAACTCAAGACGAATACCCTGATTTGCTGTGTGTTTGCTGGCTTAACAGACGAGCTTTCTTTATCACCAGTTTTATGCTGTCCTGAAACTTGATTCTTAGAAAAGATACAGGGGAGAGATTGTGTGGTTAAAATTTGCTGGAAGACAAGTATGTAATATTGCAAATGACGACCCTCCATCGTGATGAGCACTAGGCAAGATAATACAGTTCAGAAAGCATAGATTAAACATGGTCTCCATCCAAAGCCATGGCTAAAAATATCAACTGATACTGCAAGTCCCCAGGGAACACCTGATGCTACAACCGTGTGCCAAGTGCTTCCGAATGAACAACAACCGGGTGAGCCTGTTTCACAATATCCTACATCTTATCTACCAGGTGTCTTGTGGTAAATAATTCTCTAGACGACAAGAGACAGAGAAATAGTCTTCGGGCCAGCCATTGCAGCAACAGCTGAGGCTTATTTTGTCAGCTGCCAACTGTGGCAATCTTCCTAAAACAGGTGTCTGCTTCTGTTGCTTGGACTTGGAATGATGGAGATCCAAGCTGCTGACACCAGCAAATCTAGATAGAGGCTGAACTCCTGCCGTTGAGGAAGAGACTGGCCGTTACTCAGTTTCCAAAACAGGAAGCTCAGTTTGTCACTTGTGGGCAAAAGGGGGACTTGTAGGCCATGGTTGTCACTTACAATGAATCTTCGAACTCCGTATAGCGTTTTATGGAAGTAGATTTCCGGACACTGGGCTGCAGAAGTGGGGGTTTGTAAACTGATAGAATTTGGAGCATGGGAGTGCAGCTACTGGCTGGTTAGCCAGTGTTCACAACTGGGAGACTCCCACAGCTGAGGATTTCAGTGGTGGGTTTCTTGTTGACTCATTAGCATGCAGAACCAGGCACTTAAGCAAAGGATTGGTGGGACTGGAACAGGTTTCCATTTAGTTCATTTAGTGTCTGTTGCTGGATAGACACTGGCCAGCAGCAGTTTAGGGGAGGAAAGGAATTATTTGGTGTGCACTTCTGCATCCCAATCCATGATAAAGGGACCCCAGGGCAGAAGCTGGAGGCAAGAACTGGAGCACAGACCATGGGGGAGTGCTGCTTACTGGGTTGCTTCCTGTGACTTGCTCAACCTGTTTTACTGGACACCCCAGGCCTACTAGCCTAGGGATGGCACCTCCCACAGTGGGCGGGGCCCAGTTATGTTTTAATTAAAGGAAGCAGGGCAAGTCCTAAAGTGCTGCTTCCTACTCAGGTGATTCTAATTTATGACAAATTACCATTGAAACCCACCATTGTAAGTGACTTCTTGATAGAGACTGAGCATAATAGCACTCTGTGTAGCCCTCTGTGTAGCCCTGGTTGTCCCAGAACTCTGTCTGTAGATCAGGCTGGCCTCAAACTCAAACTCAGAGAGCCACCTGCCTCTGCCTGCCTAGTGCTGGTATTAAAGACTTGCAACCGCCTTGCCCTGACTCATAGCACTTTCTACTGTGCTATGTTTCTTCCTCGAATTATAAACTAGAAACCTTTATTTTTACCCAATTGGAGAGATTGTATCTGCATATGCACAGGGCTGATGCAACTCGGGGTTTAGTAAGCAGACCCTTTGCCTTGTCGTTGAAGCATTTTAGGTCCCCTGTCCCTGTGCCTGACTACCCTTTTCTTTCCAGTTGTCTCATATATGATCTCTGGTTTAATCAGGCAATCTGGTTACTCTTCCACGTCCGTTATCACCAGAATGTGAGACTGTGGGGCTTGGTCATACTTCTTTACTCAATTGATTCTGTTTTCTCTGGTCACTTTGATGCCAAATCTGAAATTCGATGTTTACCTACTATGATGCTTAATACTGTAACATCACGGGACTTAGTATCACCATGGAAATGAAAGAGTTTCTAGAACTGGGAACCTCAACTGTGGGTGTCACCTTTGCATGAGCCAAGGCTCCAGACTGAATAAAAGGGAGCAAGAGAATGAGCATCAGCAGTCACTGTCTCTGCTCCTGCTCGGGGATGTAGTGTACTCAGCTTCTTCAAGCTCCTAACTTCCCTGCCAAACTGGACGGACGGACAGACAAACCAACCTTTTCCATCCTTAACTTTCTTCTTCAGGCATTTTGTCACAGTAACAACCTGTATGCCTGTATATAAGCCTCTTGCAGAAGAGATGCAATTCCTGAGCCATTGATGAGGCTGTTATCAACTCTGGTGGAACAAACAGCACAGGGATGACATTGGCAATGGGTCTTCTTACTCCTGAGATCCTTGGAGATAACTTATAATGTTGTGCCCAAATTCTGAACCCCAAAATCACTAAGAGGCCCATTTTGATGCAAAAGCAAAAAGTCTTTTATTGTAGTTGTTTAACGAGCTAACTCGAATAGCTTGAGTCTTTAACACCCTGAGAAACCATGAGACAGGGATCTTATAGGGTAGCATCAGGGGTATGCAACAGTCTCAGGCTTGGACGACCTGCCCTGTGTTGATTGGTCAACTGGTTGTTATGGCCCATAGGCCCTCCCAGGGTGGTTGCTATGCTCTGCACACCACTGCTGTGCACTTGTCCAGAAAGCACACCCAGAGCCATAAAGCACAGACC